ACAAGGCATACACACGAGCAGCTCATAGTAGTTCGTGGGTAATGTAATTCATTAGAGTAACTTGAACTGCATGTCCCCCGAGTGATTTACAACTTAAAATGGCATGGATAGTAGTTAGACATGGTTCAAAGGGCAATAAAACAATAAAATTTAATTATAAATAGACGTATACTATTACAAACACAAGGCAACTGTTGGATATATGCAGGAAATGGACAATGTGTTACTTGGAGCATATAATTAGAGTTGAGAGAATAGGAAGATTATAATGGGTAAAATCAATAGAAGAAGAACTGAGAGGTTAGCAGAGACTCACTTGGCTTAATAACATTAGAAAATGGATTGGAAATGAGAGGCTTGAATTAGGAAGGTTAGTGAAGACAGCAAGGAATAGAGAACAATGGAAAAACAGTCAACAACCCTCAAAATAGGGGAGGATAAGATAAAAAGCATAAAATCAGCTTTATAAGGTGTAAATTGTTAAGTTTCGAGATACAGCCCCAATGAACTTATGTCACTTTTTCAGCCATCGTAACAGTTTAACATTAACACATAGCTACCCGTTAACATGGTCAATAAACAAGTACATATTTGAAGTAGTAAGTAGTCTGACCTTCAAATTGGATTCAAGGTCTCTTTGAACATGAATGCCATGTTAATATTATTGTGTGGTTGCATCTAGGAAATCAATATGAAATAATTTAATACTTTATGAATTACCCCCAATCTTAATAGTTTAATGCGAAAAAATGCAAGCTAAAACACTTAGTGAACTTCAGTGTGAATACCAACTTACTTAGTGTATTTAACTGAATATTAAATGTCATACTGTAAACAAAAAACTCACAAGATCACATAAAACCAAGTAAATAAGACAGTTACAGTGTTATCATCAAAATATTCTTTTTCTAAAACTACACTGTTTCATTGACTCCCAATAAGTATTGATACTTGTTTAACAGATACTTATCTAAATTACTTACAGCTTCTTCATTATCAATAAATGGATCAGTCTCATCATATCCCATTCCTCTGTCAATATAGTCTTCCCACTGGTCAATTTTTTATTTTGATAGTTCTCGGGCCCTGTTTAATATTTAAAAGTTTTCAGTTTATTCAACAAAATAGCTCACTATTTTGATTTTCAAATTGAAATTGTCTTACATTTGAAAATTCCACTACAAAATTAACACATTTTAATTAAAACAGTTTCATATCACAAGAAAATATAATAATATATGGCTTCCACTGCCAAGTCCATGGCTGTTTTTCAAAGCAAATGGTTCATACGAAAAATCAGATTTAAAATTTCAGAGTTGCATTTTAATCCCTTTTATACAAATATCTATCCTTTAAATTAAAATAATTTTAGAGCTATTCATATGTTCCTTTTAGATTATGAATAATTAGTAACAGTACAATAAAAACTGTTAGTATTTTATAAATATTACAGATTAATATACATTATGGACCAATACAGTATCAAAACAATTTTTGAAAAGAACTATCTGTTGCCAAAACTAAGTCAAAAATATTTTAAACTGAACAAAAACACATACAGAGAAAAATCTACTAGCCAAAGGTATGTGTATGTGTGAATGGATGGGGGGAGGGGGGGAGATGTCAACAGATACATTTAGTTATAATGACACTAAGGTGAATAAGCAGCTACAGTACTTTAATTAGGATATTCAAATGTGGACTGACAAGAAGAATTGGTGAAATTATATGGCAGATCTATCAAAAAGAAGTGGATAAATAAAGCCTCTTCCCAACAGAAAACAACCTTAAAGCAAAAAAAATAAAATAAAAATCTGGTAAAAGATTAGAAACTTGAAATGATGATGAACAGAATTTCAAAGCAAAATTAAATTGATTCTTTAAAGATAAATCAACAAAGACAAGTAAACCACATTTGAACTTTCAACTGATAGAAACTAATGGTGCCAAAATGAGTTACTCATTCTCGGAGACACACTGTACAGCAGATCAAGCAAAAAGGTTTGCATAAAACATTCTGACAAACCTTTGGACAGAAGATTTGTGGATTCAGCACCACAGAAAGCTACTGTAAGTTGAATCCAATGAAGAATCATTACAATTTTTAAGACAAAATAAAACAAATTTACTGCTGATGTTAAGTACAGGTTCCAGAAATGAAGGAGACTAGCTGCCAAGAAAGCAAAAGGCAATATTCCATTATAATGGTGTGATTCTATGTGTGCCAAGTAAGCTTAAATTTCTTGGAAGTGTGTTTGGGATTACTGTCTTCTCGTAATATATGAAAGTCTGGCCAATCAGATTCTTTCCAGAGAATATATATGATGGACTAATGTACTGTGGTTTTATGCTCATCCCACATTCCATCAATTTTGTGAAAGATGGCCAACACCATTCACAGATATTATGCCCAAACCATCACATGCTTCCTGCGAGCTTGACTGGTGGCACAAGGCATTTTTTCTGCAATCTCTTTGGTGAACATATACATGATGATTGGAACCAAACATTTTAAATTTAGATTGGTCTGTCCAAAGCATCTTGTGTCACTGTTTGAAACTGTTTAGATCAAGTAAAAAATTAATAATTTGCCTATTTTGGTGCTTTTCCCAACATTTTAAAGAACAATGGTTTTATTTCATAGGCACAAGAAATCCAAACTACAGGAATGATGGGGTGCTCTAATATAAATGTGCATAATACTATAGACAGACTAGTATATAAAACATGTCCTTAGAATACATTTATAACAATTTTGGTCTTAGCATATCCAAATATAAGATGTCAATTTAACTGAGTTTAGTTACATTTGTTCCTTTGATCAAGTCTGACTTGTTCATGCTTCCATACAAATTTTCAGAACTCGTGTAATTGTAATCTTAAGAGCTAAACTGGTCAATCAGTTTTTACCTGAGAAAAACAGGCCTTACATAATACCACTCAAAAAAACTTTTGCCTCTAGTAGATCAAATGGGCATTGCAGAAAATCCAGTATAAATTACATGAACTTAACATTTAATGAGCAAGTAACAGCCCATTCTTAAATGTAAGCCCAAGACATGATGATTTGATCTTTTTTGAACCTAGAATAGAAGGCTGAAAGTGTTAGGTGGAGGTTTCGATTTGACTTTGCAAGAGTAATGTGAAAAATGTCCAATGGTGCCATTTATGCTTATTAAACTCATAAACAGAAAATCCTATTTAAGTTTCATAACATCAGGATGGAAGAAAACTTGAAAAGTATAGCATTCACTGAGCAAAATCAAAACTTGGAGGAATGAATATTACATATTACACATAGCTAAAAAAACTATGGCTTACTTGATGTTCAAATCAATGAGTTTATTTGTATGTGAAGACCTAAATTGTCTTACTACTAAATACACTTAAGAAGAACTGTGACTATTACAAGATGTTAATCACTGAAAATATTCAAACTTCTACAAAATAATTGTGAAACAAGTTATTATAATTTCTCATTTTTTTATTTGTCTAAGTCTGAGTCACCTGCCAATCCCAAAAGAGTCCATTTGAAAACCCTGTACATAATGATAGATATGCTATGGAAAAATTAGTGAGTAGTCATTTAGAAACTTTCAAGTTTACTTTGAATTGAATAGAATTTCCCAGCTTAGCTCATGACAAAAAATATTTCAGAAACCTACTTAACAAGTACTTACATATTTTTCTTCAAACTTTTTGGCAATTTTTCGAAGCTTATCTTCATCATCATCATCATCAAATGGATCATCATCTGTTGTTTTCTTTTTAATGTCCTGATCACCCTATAATGAAACCATAACAGTTAGTAAAGTTTTTGTGTTAGATTAAATATGTATATGTGTTTCAGTAAAATTAAATTCCTTGATAGAGCTGGGTGATGAGCAGAAATTGGGAATTGATAATTGTTGGGGTATTAATGGATTACATTCAACTAGTTTATTAATCTCACATGAGACTTGGATAGTTGGAATAATTGAAAACACTAATTTTGATTACTTTCATTACATTAATTGATTTAATGGTAATTTTGATTATTCGAGTTAATCACACAGCTTCATTTCTTTGTCTCCTAATTAAAATATGGGATACAGCACTTTGCAAGATGAACTGCACAACTATATTATGTTAACTCCATTGAATACATATGGCTCAAACATTGACCTCTTTATTTTTTCAGTGGTCTAAATATTTTATATTTTGGATGTTAAAAAATCTAATATGATACTAATGTAAGTTAATTTAGACAAAAATATATCAATAGTTATTACCAAAACTAAATTTTGCATATAATGATTATTAAATGGGTCTTCATTAATATTGTTAATAAAATGCCAAGGTCCATGAAGTTTTCAAAATGGAGAAAATTCATTCTTGTCATCACTGAGAATTCTACAAATAGCACAATTTTGATTCTCCTTATCTAAGGCCATCAAATTTAATCAACAAACTCCAACATCTATCAATTTCATAATGTTTTTTTGGGATTTGATGAATAGTTATGATCATCTTGTAAATAAAACTGTATACCACACTGTCTTGCAAGTTCTCTTAAACATTTCGAGATGGATCATGGGTGAAAAGCCATGTCATCTCATTTGTTGATTCAAAACTTTATTGAACTTATGTCAATAATTTTAGTATCAAACTGTAAATTATAATTCAAATTTAGTACTATATATATATATTACTCAATTTCTTAATTTAAAAGCAAATATTAAAAAAAAACAGATAAACATCCATTATTGTATGTCACGTGGTTTGTGAAGTCAAAATACTAAGTTTATAGTTTCTTATGAATTAGGAACTCAAATTACCGATATTGACAAGCAAGAATATAAAATAAGAGCCTCTTATCTTTTCAATTTGCTAAGATATTGCTCATGTACTAAATCAAACACAGTGGCACCCTGCCCACCTATTTCCATTTTTGGAAATGCTCCCTTATATACACTTACTTCTATATATGAGATGAATAACCAATTGGAAGCCTTGTGGCTTTCTCAGCCATTTTAACAAGCTTGGCATCATTTATTTCTTTTGAACCAATATTTCAAGGAGGTAGGGTGTGTCTTTAGTCTGCTCGAAATTTCATATTTTTTAGACTAAAATACATCTTAGTTACTAAGCTTGATAAATTATAGTGGAATTCTATGGTATTAATGAAGTAATTTATGATTTTTTACTTATTCAAGTGTACATATAAAACCTACAAAAAATATTTTCTTTCATATTTTCCACGTGCAAAATTTTTAAAGGCTTAGCAACCTATGTCAAGCAGTAACCGAATACAAAGGTCGTAACTAGAAAAGATAATTGTTTGCTTTACTTCTTTAGTTACTGTTCTATGTGTAAAGAAAAATAAGTTTAAGAACTTTATTCAAAATAGTTATAATCTACATACATATATAATGTATAACTGAAATGTGACTTTATTTTACAAAATAATAGTCTATTAAAACAAAGCCAAGACAAGTTACTTTGTACAGACCAAAAGTCAGTTTTATGTTATTTGATACGGTAACATGAGTCCACGTGAGTCCCATCATTGTAACTTCTGTATTGTTAGCCAGGCACGGCTGAAAGGTCAATATAATAAATATATATAAATATGTATAATGTTATGAGATGTTTTTGTGTTATAATTTGTGTTCATTCTAGAATGAAAGAGGCATAATCTATATTTATTTCCTAATTTTTTACGGTGGTTGCGAGATTAATTATTGAAAATAACAGATAAAATATAAAGTTTTTCTTAAGAAATGTTTGATAACTATTTGGACATTATAAAGATTTCGCATGTGAAATTTCAAATTTTTTGATGCATAAAAGTATTTTTAATCTTAAAATAAATATTACTTTGCATGATAGATAGGCAACATGCAAAAAGAAAAAAAGAAATGAGAAAAGCATTGTTTTACAAACCTTAAGACTTAATAAAAAAAATTGATATTTTGCATATGAAAGCATTGTAGTGTTTACCACTGCCTTACAGTCCTGGCAAAAGCTAGATAAATCATCCACCAGACTACTTCAGCCAGCCACAAGTGAACCAATGACATAGAATCTGTTGGGGCTTTAGCAAAGGTATAGTTCTATCTCTCTCCCAACTATATAAATATACTTTTTTTGTATATATGCTTATGTACTTCATAATGTGAAATTTAACTTCACATCTTTTATCTTATTTCCTTTATTAATATACAATTTCAGTTTTGATGAGTGTTACATTATATAGAAAGGGTCTCTTTCATTGTTGTATTAATTTTTACTTTGCACTTATTTAAAGGTCTTTGCAATAAAGGTTTTATTCTACTATGTATTTAATATTGAATGGTTTGTTTTGTATCTGTGATTTTCATATGTTTGTCATTTTGCTATTAACTCTTTTAGCATGAGCTCAGTCCCTGGGACCAACCTCGTAACCATTTTGTGCTTGATATAGTTTTCATGCTATAACTTTTAAATTATTAAGCAATTGTTAATGAAATTTGGCAGATTATCAATAAACATTACAATGCTTTCAACTTGATAGTGGATTATAAACAATAATTTGAAATGCAAAAATCAGTAATTGAATATTTTCAAACCACACTAAAGAATAAAAAAAATATGTTTGAAATCAAGCACTAGGTTTTAACACTGTCATGCCAAGTCTAGAAGTGAATATTGGGTTTAAATGCATAGAAGGAGTCAGCTCCAATAGGAAGGTTTGTCACACTCCTTCTGGTGGAGGACTGTCGCATGCTAATTTGCATGCTTAAACACAGCTGAACCACATGGTATACACAAGGAATTAAGTGTGAGTTTCAAGGCTAGTGGTGAGCAATAAAGGGCAGTCAAATCGAGAATAGCGGTAACTTTGAGAGGAGGTAAATAATCGTATCAGAAACCAGTGTACCTGAGAATACCACACAAGAAATATAAATAGCTAAGCCATTTTTCAGTCTTCAGAAAAGTACTATATACGAGCATATATTATCTTTGTTATTTTTTTGGGGGTAGTTCTTTTTCTTCTTAGACTTACTTTTTGTCTGTTTTTCTTGTGAAGTTGTCGAGTAGGTTTGGTCACTTAATAACAATGGTTAGAAGTAGTAAAGAGGTAAATGATGCAAAGTTGCTGGAGTATGATGAATGTAGAGTTGTTTAGGCTGCAGTTTTTAAAAAAGCTTAAGTTCCTCTGAGAAGGTTTTATGTAGAGCATGTTTGTTGGAATAATACCTGCAGTTTGACTGATAACAACCCAGTATTCTGAAGATCTGTTAGTCCGAAGGACAGTTAGTCACAGATATTTGATTTTACAATACAGGTCAAAATTGAATGATTAAACAAATTCATAGGTCCATAATAGATGAATGCAATCTCAACTGAAACATTGAAATGGTATATCTTGGTGGGGATTTGGGGAACCAGCAACCTCTGATGGCTTGCTCTAATTTTAAATACAAACAACAGAAAGATCTCAATCAACAGTGTAGCACACAGCTCACTGCACTGGCTCAGTGTCTAGATAATTTTATTGACAGGAAGTCTTAACATGTTTAGTAAGGAGGGGGATATAACATTCATTGTTACAGCACTATGGAGTAAGAACCTTGAACTCATGAGAAATTGTAACCTTTTAGGTCATATCCTGGGGCGTTTTTGTCAAAAAATTTCATAAATTTAACCAAACAACCAACTTAACATTTTAACTGTTAAAAAAAATTGTTACATCATCAGACTATCGGGCCTTCAGACTAATGGACCGTTTTATTTGAGGAAGCTGCTAAATTGCGAGTAAAAGAAACAGTGTAGTGAATAGTGAATGATTTATGGGATTAAAAAAGGAAACAGAAAATCTAAATATAAAAGCTGTGTTTGTAAAGAAGAGAAAAATGAGTGTTTCTTGTAAGTTCAATAGAAGAAAGTCTAGGATCATGAAAGCTAATCTAGTACAGACACAGTAACTGTACAAATTAAATTTCAGGAATTTGCTGTTGATGAGGGTGAAGAAGGAAAATATCCTGAGGTTTACTTTGTTGGGGATTCAGCTTGAAGATAACAAAATGTCATAAAAAATTAAGTTCACCAAAAATTATAATGTTTATCTAATATCAATACATGTTGTGAAAAATATATGAAAAATGTAATAATGAAAGATGCCAAACTTTGTGTTTTTAAGGTTATATTTCATTAACAAAAGTTAAAAAAATTGTAACAATTAGATATAAAAAACCCAATCAGTAATGTTTTACTGGTTTCACACCTAGTCCATTTTTAAAGTAGGAAATGAAAAGATATATAAAGTACTTGTAGATACTTTTACCATAAAAATCACTGATAACTTCAATGCTGAAATTTTGATCCATCAAATGTTAGTTGACAAGTCATTATTGTATAAAAACAACAGAAATAAAATATATTCAGTTTCATTTCAAAAATATTCTAACCTGCAGCTTTAGTAAAGTATACGTATAACTACTATATACTTTTTGTAGAAAAGTTCAATGGTAAGAAACCTACAAGGCTACTTTGTTACAAAGTTTTGATGTCATAAAAAGGTTAACCAACATTTACACTAATGTCAGTTACACTGATTTAAAAAAAAGTTACAATGAAATACAAATTATGGTCAGGGGTCAAAATTGGCAAGCATGGTGATTAAAGTCTTATACCTCTAGTTATAATGAAAAATCTTTGTTAGATTAAAATTATAACGGTTTCATAGTCTTTGGAAGGAATAAAATAAATTTACATTCACTTGAGGGAAAGCTAACAGGAAGATTACATTCCCTCATGTAAA